AAATTTAAAACTTAATGACTTTTATTTTTTATCGCTGAAAAGTTGTGTTGTTTTCAAGAAGAAAAGAACTGAATTAAGTTATTCAAATTATAGTAGATACTTGTGTAAAACTGCTATTTCTAGGGGTTATCATAAAAAATTTATGATTTTTTACAGATTTGAAATGCAAGACAGCAACAAAATTTTTATTCTATATTACGTATTGAGCTTAAAGTTGAAATTCTAAGAAAATTATTTCTTTTAACAACTCTGGGCTAAAAAAAAAAACAATTTGTTGACCTGAACAATACTATTAAAGTTGAATAGTTATCATAACTTATCAGTGTTACCTTCAACTGTTAAATGCAACCATTATTATGCTGTTTCTGTGGCTGATTTCACACAGTCAAAAGTTGCTCAAAGCTTTTTGAATACTAAACAAATATTAGTCATTAAATTTTATTGAAGCACAGCTTTTTTAAATTTTTTTTTTTTTTGACGTTACCTTAGACCATAAATTTTTGCTTCTTCTGTTGCGCCGTAACGATAAAACAAACCCAGTCATTCCTTGTTTCAAACATATGCTTCATAACACTTTTGATAGCACCTTCAAAATTTGAGCTAATTGGAAAAGTTCTGACCGTTTCCGCATCTTTCAATTTTTATCGCAGATTGATGTACTCATCTGATCAAACACAGCCAATCAGAAAGTCACCATCACTTTTGCGACAACTGTAGTGTACTAATTACAGATCTCAAATTTCAAGTCGCACATCAGCTATACTCCAAACTGCAAAAAGTCACTCATTTCTCAGTTCATTTCTCTTTTTTCCCTTCGACTTTGACATTTTTAAACATCTTAAAAGGCTACTTGAAAAGCATCACCGTTTTACTTGTTAGCAAACATTATACTATTTATTTTAATCACTTTATTATTGACAGTTTTGACTGTACAACACATACTTTTATTGTTTATTGGCTAAGGCCTTCTCCCTCTTTTTTTTTTCTTCTGCTTTTGATAGCAATGTTGGTAATAATTTAAAACGAAAAACTGTTTCATTTTATTGAGCCTATGAACAATACTAATTTGTTGTTTCTAGTCATTACTGAAGACACTGAATAAGAAAATTGAGAAAATTGACTTGTTTCTTACTGTACTATTATCAGAGTTAAAATAGTGACTAAATTATTTGGTACTATAAACCAGTAACAGTTATCTTTATTACAGTCAACTGAATTGGAAGGGACGACGCAGAGGTTTCACATTTATCTATCTGTATCTTTTTCCTTTCTTCTGAATATAATACGTTGTAGTGCTCAAAATTTCTTTTCATCTTAAAATCTAAAGACAATCGTTAACAGCGTTATTACTCTTATAATAAAAATACATTTTAAGATGCTGTCGGCAAAAATATTACCGACCAAACTTGACTGTCGTGCCATTTTCTATGTAGAAGAAGTGCTGCACAAAAAAGTATACCACCACCGTAAAGGAAAAAATATATTCACTACAAGTGGCTTAAAAATTAAATTTTTGAAAAGCGGAAGCGATTTGGAGAGAGAGAGAATTTGAAAGGGTATAACGACGAAAAAAAAAAAAAAAAGAAAATGTTTTGCTTAGGATGATCCCCGAATTAACGAATGTTAACGTTTGTTACCGCGTAACAGAGTTGTCGCGCGGCGGCGCGGTAAAATCGTTTTTACTACCGCCTACAAAGTAATCTCAGCTCGTTA